CTTTGTCGGGTTGTGTCGTTTTTTTTGGGGGGGGGAGGATGGCTCGGAGTATTTTTTTTCTCATGAAATGTCATGTGGTGAAGTTGTGGCGGGTTCTCTGTGCGATTTCCAGGAAGAGCGTTTGAATGTTCTTCCTCGGGAATGGATGCAGTTGCTTGTCTCCACCCCTCTGCGCGACGATCCTGCTGCATTTCGCCTTCTCCGCCACTGGAGGGCGCCACAGAACTTCAGGAAACTGGTGAGCTGACACAGTTGGGGACACATACAAAATGTTCAATATGATAACAAAAGTGGAATACAAAAAAAACAATGTATCATTTAACCACACACTCAGCCAGTGTGTAGGACGTACCACTCGAGGGGATCACATTGACCCATGTTTGTTCAGAAACGAACACACGGCAGGGTAAAGAAATTCTCTGCATTTCTAGCAGCATAAAATCCACCGCAAATATTCAATTACATAGAAAATCTCATTTTTTTTTTTTTTTTTAGATAAACATTCATTTATTAAAGCTCAGCTGTACCTAATGTTCTGGTGCGTGTGAACTGCATTCCAAGACATTGGTCACTAGATGGAGACACATTCAGACTGGCTCAAATTTATGTTGCCAACGTTATTAGGTAAACTGTGAATTCAATTCAATAATCCAAATCGACGTATTTTCAGGATTTCGCTGCTGCTGACTCCAGCCGTGAATGACAAGTCTGATGGATGTCGGTGAGTTGGCCTCCTATTTTGATATGAGACACCACGCTGTCCTTGTGCATATTCATATTGTCAGCTGCGGTTTCTGCGTTGCGGCGCACCAAGGGGAAGGTTGTGCTGAAGAGCAAAACGATTCAATAATGAAAGCTTTTGTCGTCATAATGATTTCGTGAGTAATTTGAGCGAGGAGCAGCTGAGTCAGGTTGGAGGGGCGTGTGTGTGTGTGTATATGGGAGGGGGGGCGGGGAAATGGCAGGAAGCAGTGGGTGAGGGAAGAGGATGAAGTGGGTGTGTGTGCGCCTCCTCTCCTTCATCCTCATCCTGCTCCTGTCATCCTCCGCATAAGGAGAGGAGGCGTGGCTTACATCATCCGCTACCCCGGGTGCTTTGTGAACGCGGTCCTGTTCACTCGCAAAGAACATGAAAATACAGACCGTGTGTGTGTGTATATGGGAGGGGGGGCGGGGAAATGGCAGGAAGCAGTGGGTGAGGGAAGAGGATGAAGTGGGTGTGTGTGCGCCTCCTCTCCTTCATCCTCATCCTGCTCCTGTCATCCTCCGCATAAGGAGAGGAGGCGTGGCTTACATCATCCGCTACCCCGGGTGCTTTGTGAACGCGGTCCTGTTCACTCGCAAAGAACATGAAAATACAGACCTGGAAGAGGGTTTGAATGAAGCTTCCCCACCTGGAGGCTTGTGTAACTTTGCCGACAGCAGAAGGGCAATGAGTTTGTGTGTGTGTTGTCAAAGAATAGTCTGTTTACACCATACATATTTAAACCGTTTGAGTGTGAGTGGCCTACAATTGTCCGACTTTCAACGTGTTGGCATTTTTGTGCCTTACAATTGCCTTGACAAGTTGGAATTCGCCCCAGACTCTTTATCTTCTACGCAAAAGCCGTGTTGATCTCAAATCCCAAACAATGCAACCCCGCCATCGACAGAGATGTGTTTCTAATGACGGTGGTCTACACACCTGAATTTTACATACAAGCTGGGCCAGAATTGTACTTGAAGGCATATTTGGAAGAGTGTGTCGCGCAAGAAGTCCAAAACGTTGGCCAAAAGAACAAGACGGATCAGTGCAACTCAAATTTCCAGCTCAGCTCCTGATTCGTTGGCTTTCTGCCTCCTCAGATTTCACTCCCCCAGCAAGCTTCACCCCTATTTTGACCTGTGTGTTACCCTCCATCTACCCCCCTTCATCACGCTGCCTCTCCCCCAGGCAAGAGTGCTTTTTGTGCCCCCCCCCTCCCCACCACCACCACCTTTGTGTGAAGAGGCCGGTGAAGGGAGAAGAGCAGTGTGAGGAGGAGGTAGAGCCAAATGGGATGAATCCTTTTTCTTCGGATTTGCATGTTGAGACCTTAGCTTCGCTCGCCTCTTTATTCATGTACACGATGCCTGGGGAGATTATGTCATTTGTTGGTATACTTGAAACAGTCCCAAAACAAACAGATTTGGACTCAAAAGTCCTTGCTTGCGTTGAGTGTATCATAGGGTTCCATAACTTGTAGGAATCTAAGGTCCATATCACTGCCTCTACCATTGCTGTGCAGGAGTTGCGCAGCATTGCATTGCCTCAAGACTGAAAGTCTAATCAAAATGTTTTGT